TGCACCCCTCCACAGGTTCCCATCCCACCCTCTGTCCTTTCCCCACCCCCCATTGTCCTCATCCATAGGTGCACAGTTTATGTTCAGCCTCTTCCCGCATCGCCCACTCCCCTTTTCCCCGAGAACCATCAGTCCACTCCCCTTCCATACCTCTGATTCTGCGACTCCTTCTTCCTAATCTTTGTTGTTGAAAGTGTTACCTACGTCCTCCTCCTACCCTGTTAACCTCTACGCCCCCCACCCCCCAGGCCCTCACCCCCCGGCGTCTGTGTCCGAGAGGGAGGCATCTGTGCACACATGGTCACGGCGGGTCTCTTCCCACCACCCTCCCCGCCTACCCTCTGAGGTTCGTGTCTGTGGGTTCGTTTCGTTCATCAGTTTATTTTGTTCATTAGATTCCACCTATGAGTGAGGTCGTGTGATACTTGTCTTTCTCAGACTGGCTGGCTCCTCTCAGCATCGTGCTCTCCGGTCCCTCCGTGCTGTTGCACTGGTCAGCGGAGTATTCCACGGTGTAGCCAGGCCACAGAGCGACTTCTGAGGCCCGAGGGCTCGCAGGCATCGTGGGAGGCAGGTCTCACCGGCCGTGAGGGATGGTCACGATGTCTCGGCTTCAATCCCGAAAGAATTTGCATTTTATTCCTAATGATCAAACACATGGAGAATTCTGTACTCACAAAGCAGCTCTGAGCTGCAGCCTGTACGTGCGGGTGCTGATGCCCACGTTTTTCACAGAGGACGCAGGGGTCTCTGGGAGTAACTGCTCTTCCTTAGCACAGAAGCACTGCCTCCTGAGCTCACAGAGCCCCCAAAGTTAAGTTTGGAGGAAGTGGCGTTCTTGGGGCACTCGCCTATGTTTCCCTTAGAAACAGCAAAACCTCAGAACCTAAGGACGTAAGTTCTTAGAATCATCTTCTTAGTGTGGAAAGCACAGCATCACCCCATACCTGTGCGTCTTCACACAGATGGACGGACGGCAGCCGTGGCATCTTTTCTCGTGTAAATATGGCAAAAATCATCTTTAAGAGGGGAATTGGAGCTGACCTGGGGGCCGGCAAATAGGGGGTCACAGATGCGCTAAGAGATGTTCCAATCAAAATTCCAGCCGGGCCGCCTCGGAAGACCCGCAGGGAGGCCTATGTGCATCGGGTGGGTTTGGCCCCGCAGCCCGCACTTCCTGGCAACCTTTCGCCCACATCAATGAGGTAATCTGTTCAAAATGACTCTGAAATGCACCTCTAATGTGTGCAGCACAGCACACCTGCAGGCAATTGGAGGCACGCATACCTCGGGTGCCATCTCGGCTCTCAGAAACCACGCGGCTGGCGATCAATACGGCCGCCGTTCGCAGTGGTAACGTGGGCTCCGGGCCAAGCACATCTGTCTTCGTGGAAAGTGAACCAACCCCCCCCCCGCCCCCCCCGGCCCTCACGCCCCTGCGTTTTCTAGCGTGCACAGTTTAAGGCACAGGGTTTTTTTTGTTTATTGTTTTTCTTTTGTATATAAATTACTGTTGATAGTATTACAGAGGTCTCCCTTCCCTCCCCCCTCTCCCCCCAGCCCTTACCCACTCACCCCTAGGTCTTCTGCCCCACATTGTGCATGTCCATGGGCTGTGCGTATCTATATATACAAAAGGCTAAGCGACCATCTGACCGTCTGACTGGTGGCTATGATGTGCACTGACCGTCAGGGGGCAGATGCTCAAGCAGGAGCTGCTGAGCTGCGGTGACATGGCAGTGGCGGTTCTCCGGCGATATACCGGAACCAAAGAGGAGGGAGCCCAATTCTGGGGTGCGTCACCCAAGAACCACCTTCTCACACTCTGGGACTCCTCAGGGGATGTCGGAGAGCTGGTTTCAGCCCAATCTTCCTCACCCCTACCCCCGCCCACAGGCCAGGCTGAGGGACCCACCTGCCGGAGGGATCCTGCTCACTCCACAGACGCCCTTCGAACCAAGGTGCAGCTGGCAGGGGAGGGACCATGGGAGGTTGGCTCTGGGGCATGCCCGGACAGTCTTTTCCCTTCCCGTCCACCCTACGCCATGCAGAGTCAGAAGGACAGCTACAGGCAATTATAGGCACCCTGGGGTGGGAGCGGTGCCCTGCCTGTTCTGAACAGCGGAGGGCGTCCCAGGCACGGAGATGGACCTCCCTCTGTGTGGGTGGAGGCCAGGCTCAGATAGGCTGGGACCAGGAGTGGGCGATGACCATGTGGAGAGGGCCACCCTGACCTGCGTGCGTCACGTGAACAAAAGGACCCTTTGCTGCTTTAGGCCCAGAGACCAACGCTGTTCACAGGCGACGAGTGCCAGAGGTCAGGTAAGGGGTCAGGTGGAGGCGAGGGGGAGGTGACTGTGGTCTGGGACCAAGCATGCCCATAGGGATGGGGGGCAAGGAGGTGTCAAGATGTCCTGGTGGCTTCGTGGGCCTCGGCTGTGACCACATCAGGCCACTGACAGCCGGTCGGTGCTGGTCACAGAAGCAGTGACAGCTAACGGTGTGAATGGGGACTGGGACAAGGGTGTGCTGAGTGTCGAGGGCGTGTTCCTACCCTGAGCTGCAGACTGGGAGGGAGGGTACTTCAAGCATCCTCCATGACAGTCCACGAGACTCCACAGGCCAACGGCAGTGAGGACCCCGCCCAGAAGCCGGAGCAGACACCGTCCTGGGACCTCGGACACCGTCCACGGGCCAGGCATGGGACAGCTTCCTTCCTTCCGGGAACTACGGAACCCCTTTGCCACAGCTCGCCATACCCAGGCATGTGTGGCAGCACGCCGGGAACTTAGTAAGTCCTCTAGCATTTGGTGCTCGGCGGAACAGTAACGCCTCTCTGGGCCCAGGGCCTGGGAGGGACTCTCTGGAACCAATCCACATGTTTGCACAGAGGGGGCGGGCGTTGTCAGATGTTGCCATGAGCAGGTCAGTGATGGAGCCATAATAGCCTAGATTAGTGCCACATGCTGGCTGCTTGGGCTGCTCGGCCGCTGCAGCTATAAAGAGGCAGGACAGAGCGGTGGGTCTGCTTTCTTTTGAGCGAGGAGCTTGCTCGTCAAGAGGTTGTTACGTCCCCACACTCCTCTCGGTGGGGCCAGGCGGCCAGAAGGTCGGGCGGGAGACAGACTCCAGATACAACGCCTGCTGCTGCATTCTCTGTAAGCCTGCACCCTCCCTGGCACCTGGGGGCTGCGTCCTCCCTGGTACCTGGAGGTGAGCCCACGTTCTCGGGGGAAGATGCTGCCTGCTTATCCGCGTGGCCCGTTGCCATGGGAGATCCTCGCCTCACCCCACACCTGTCCCAGCAAAGGACCTGTATTTAGCACGAGCCAAAAATTAGTTTAAATAACCAACATTCATGGAAGTCAATGAAACTGCATGTGTCTCCCCCACCTCGAGACCTGTGGGCTGTCCAGGGCTTGCCCCCGGGACTTGCACAGGAGCGGGTTCAGGGATGCGGGTGCCTGTGGACCTGCACCCCCTCCGGCCTCACAGCCGTGTCTCCCCAGCACTGGGCTGTGAGGTGGCTTTTCTACAAGTGGAAGGAAAGGCTTTGCAGGCATTTCATGAAAAATGACAAGGAAACTCCATAGGATGGGACCACGAGCGGCTGAGCAGCGGAGCCGTGGGGAGGAGAGGCTGCAGGCCCCAGCCCTCTCCCCGAAGGGGTGGCCCCTGGGCGGGCAGGCTGTGCCCTCAGACAGAGGTCCTCCGCACGTGGAGATGCTGCTGGGAAGTCTGAAGCAGGTGAAACCACGCCAGTGGGACGCAGTCACTGATGTGTTTTCTTTGGAAACTGCGGCTTGGGCGCCACCTACTGTTCATGTCCTGGACACCGAGGTTTTCTCAGTCGGGATATTGGGGCACAGGCCCCACTGATTTAGTTCCTGAAGTTGAATCTGGGGGAAATCCCAAACGATACAGCATTTTTCTTTGGCATCACTCAGCTCACTGCTCGCTGTCCTGAAAACTTGTGTCTGGCCTCTCGGAGTCTGAGGTGACAGTCTGTGCCCGAGGACGGGGTTCCTAAAACAGCAGGATCACGAGGACCAGCCCGTGTCCTAGGGCCCTTTCCTTCAATCTGCTCTTCCTATGGGATGATGGTGCGGCCAGAACACGCTCCTCCATCACAGTCACAGCAGCACAGGGTCCCGCCAGCCCTGCCTCCTGTTCTGGTTCCTATTGGAGCCAATAGTGAGTCACCAGGGAGGGAGGGGGCGGGACCCTGTGCAGCCACTCTCACCGGGCTCCCCTCACCCTGGGGCTGGGGAAAAGAGCCCAAGTCCCAGGAGTCTTAGTCCCTCTGCTCAGGGCCGACTCCAGGGAGTGAACATCTCATCACCTCTCCCCAGGCACCAGCCCAGCTCAAGCCGATATCAGCTTCACTACAGAAGGGTTAGGGTTAGGGTTAGGGTGATGGAGGCTGAATGTTATGCTACAAAAAATTTAAAGGACAAGAGTCCACAAATGTCTACTAAACAGATTTCAAAACTGAATCCTTATAATATATGCAAAGTATAAATTATTTTTAAAAAAATATATCTTTATTGATGTCCGAAATGGAAGACAGAAGCATCAATGAGAGAATCATTGATCAGCTGCCTCCTGCATGCCTCCCACTAGGAATTGAGCCCAAAACCCAGGGCAGTGCCCTGACCAGGAATCAAGCCGTAAAGCAGCAGCAAAGGGGGCCTGGTCTGCTTCGTCCCAGGACAGAGCTGGCGTTCCCAGGCCCGGCCTCATGGGAGGGTCCAGGATGCTGGACCTCACTTCCCAGGTCTCGTTCATGGTTCCTCCTCATTTCTGCCTTGGCACTGCTGTCGTTCTGGGTCAGGTCACCTGGGGAGGACGGAGGATGCTTAGCGCTGTCCTGGGGCCCACCCCTCATGACCACTCAGTATCACACACCTGGGCCACACGTGCTGGGAGACAACCAGGGGCCCAGGAAAGCGTTGACATGTGATGGTGCCCATGTGTGTGAGTCAGTCTGACGGATTTACATGGAGTTAACACTAATCATAGACACACTGCGAACTGCTTAGCTCAGCGATTCTGTTCAGTGTAACTGGAGGCTCCAGGACACAGCCCACAGGTGTTTGCTTTAAATGCTTGGTAGGATGTGTCTATAGCGTGGGCGGCTGCTGTGTGTACGTTTTTTGTTTCAAATCCTCGAGTATGACGTAACACCATGCTGAAGGGCACCAGCTGTCAATCACCCAGGTACCCAGCGCTGGAGGCACCGTGGGGGACTTATCCCCACGGAGTGTGTGGAGAGGGGCCGAGACGTATGGACACTTAGCTTCATACCAGGGGCTGTGAGGACTCAGTGGCTCGCGAAGGAGAACCCTGGCCCACCAACGCCGGCGCCTTTCCCACCAGCACCGCGATGTAGCGACAGGGACTTTCAGCTCGTGCTGCGGCTGGGCCAGCTCCCAGATGGCAATGCGGCTCCTCCGACGGCTGGCTCCAAGAGGCCCACCTCCGCCGGCACAGGGGCTTTGTGCCGGAGCCTCAGGACCCACTGTCACTGGTCAGAGCGTATCCATCATGGCGACTGAGAGGATGTCCTGGATGCTGTGACTTGTGAGGGATTATCACACATCGTAAGTCTTGCAGGAGCCCCAGGTTAGTAATAGTAACCAACTGGCAAAGACAGCCTGAGCCTGAGCACAATCAGCTGAGACATAACAGCGCCTTGAGGAAGCCATCTTTCCAAACGACAGTGGCTGTGGGACGGGCCCGCCACGCCAGCACTTAGTTCTCAGGATGGCAGCGGGACGCACTCGGACACGGCGGGACAGCTCCAGGAACCTGGCGGCTACTCCTCCTTCCTCCTCTTCCTCCTCTCCTTCGCCTTCTGCTGTAGGGCCTTGAGGTCGGCCATCACAGCCAGCGTCTTCCGGACCCACAGGACCTGAAAGCAGGGGTTTGGAGAGTGATCACACTGGGACACGCACAGGGAAAGCGAGGATGCAGCCGTGGTAAGTACGCACCACAATGATCATGGCGTTGAGGAGCAATGGCGCTGAAAACACCAGCGAAATGAACATCCCCCTCGAGTCGAAATACTGGTATTTCGAAAAGGACCTGTTTTAGGAAAATTTAAAAAATCACTTGGTGTAGCGAAACAATGTTTTAAATGCCGTTCCCTACTTAGTGTGAGGCTTCTGGAGGTCTTAGGTCCCGAAGGCAGACCCCCCACCCCCTTCCATGAGGGGTGGCCCGGGAGGGGAGAGGCTTCTGTGCTCTCCACGCAGCCCATGCACACCCACACTATCACTCCACTTCCTTACTCTGCTGCTAACGTCACTTAACAGCCCCTGACCTCTCTCTCCCTCAAGGCATGTCCAGCACCACCCAGTCTTCAGCTGGCACCGCCAGCAGGAATCGTAAGGAGCGCTCCAAGCGGGGCTGCTGTGCTGCATGTGGGGGCTCTTTCCAGAAAGCAGAAGCCGGACAGCCACCGCCCTGACCAGCTCACCTCCAGTTCATGGCGGCCACTTCATTGATGTACTCAGCACAATAGACCAAGGTCACTGCAAGAGAAACTGAGCGTGACTGACAGCTCATCATGTGGACACATCCTCTACAGACCATGTTCAGTGCAAACACACAAGATAGCAAGATAAATGGCATTCCTCCTTTAGATACAATGTAAGACAACAATCATAAAACTAAAACCCAGGAAACCCTTCACCCAGAGGAAACCAGGCCCACACACGTCAGCCTCCAGGTCTCGGGGGAAACACACAGAGCTGGTCAGCAACACGCAGCCATGAGAATCCAGTCTTCTGCCCAAAAACCAAGAGCCGCCTGCTGGCTATTTGCCCAGTTTCCTACATGCCCCGGCACAGGTCAGGCCAATGGTCCACGGGGCAGCAGGGCCTAGAGCCGTTGAGTCCCATCCTCGGGATTCCGACAACAGGGGGCAGCAGCGTTGGGGGCCAAGCCGGGCAGCAGGAATCCAGCCGCAGGGATGCTGATTTGTACCCGAGTCCTTCCCAGTGTGCAGCCTCCCTGCCAGAGCGAGCAGCACGGTGCTCGAGATGGAGAGAAACTCGTGAAGAATCAGCATCTCACTAACCCTAACCCGTCTTGTGTAACTGGTACTGACCCCCTCCCTGGTAAGGTAGGTGCTCGGTAGATTCCTTTCAAATACAACATCCAAATTTACTTTATCTGCAGAGTTCCCAAGAGCGAAATCAGGGCAAGCCCTGCGACTAAGAGCAGAGCCTAAAACAGGAGGGCTGGGTCCATGGAACACACTACATGCCGAGAACACAGGCACATCACGCCGCGCTGTCCATTCCACTCACCGAGGCACAGGAAGTGCCCGACCTGCAGTTTGTATCGCCGGGAGGACACACACGTGAGCAGAAGGCAGAGCGCATGGAAGACAACCAGGCCGAGGAGCCAGGGCTCCGTCCAGTCTGTCTGCTGTGGACACACATTGGGCACTCGTCACCATCAGCTCCCTCAGGGGCCCGGCCTCAGGTCCCCAGGGTCAGAGGGGAGTCAACGGCCCCTCACTCCTGAGAACCTACTTCTGGGGCTACTGAGCAAGGCGTCCAGAGGGGCCCTGACCCCAGGCTCACAGAAGAGGGGGGAGCAGAGGGAAGGGAAGAAGGGAACCAGGACCACTGAGGAGGAATTCGGGGTCTAATGCTGGAGCACAGAGGGGTGGCCTCCCCGACGGCCCTCGGGTTTGTGGCCTGGCACACTATGAGGTGAGTGGAACCCAAGGGCCATGGTCCCAGGAGGGAGGAGGAAGTCAGGGGCTAGTTCAGGAGATGCATTTGGTTACTCCCCCTCAGAACCCCTATTTCAAGCCTCTAGCACTTCAGGCCTTGAGAAATCTGAGCCATCCCTACTGGCAAGACTCCCTTTTCCTTCTGCCCTATATTCAGCCTCCCAACAGTGCTGCGAGCCCAGGTCTGCTCAGCTCCACGGGGGGTCAGGTCCTCCGCCCAGGGTCAGATGGCCCCTGTGCTCAGATCCACGCCCTGTCCTGATCTGGCCTCATGGACTCAGAGCCCCAAGCCTTCAGGCCTAGTGTGGCCGCTCTCCCGCACGCCGGGCCCCGCAAGACCACGCAGCCGGGGCAGGTAAGCTGGCCATGAGCTATGTCCATCCCTTCTCGTCCGAGGGCCCAGAGCGAAGGGCAAGGGGGTGGGGGGTTGTAACTGGGGAAGAGCAGCACCGCGCCACGCCCCCCGCCTCCTGGCCCGCCCCAAGCTTCAGGCCCCGCCCCGGAAGCTCCACCAGCCACCCCGCACGCTCAGGCCCCGCCCCCAACGCCCGGGCCGTGCCGGGGCGTCCACGGCGGACGAAGGGAAGTCCGGGGCAGCTCCACCACCAGCACCGAACTGGCCGCCGAGTTACCATGATGACGGCGGGAATGCTGTCGGGGAAGGAGGTGACTGAGAAGGCGGACGGCATTGTGCCAGCCACAGCCGCCCTCGCCCTCGCCGTCAGGCTGGTCCCGCCCGACTACCGGTACGTGTGCCTCTGGCGCCGCCTCTCCCGGTGTCTCGGGTGTCGCGAGACCTGCGGTGCCGGAAGTGGGCGGTGACCCTGTGAACGCGGACAGTGCTCACGTCTCGCGGTATTTCATGCCGCCCGAGCGACAGCTGACAGTCCTCGCCGGCCTCCGGAGGCTGCGGGCGGCGCTGCTGCCAGAGGCGGCCTGACAGAGCCTCCGCCCCGGACTGTGCACGCGGCCCGTCCTCCTCCGAGCGGGGGCGCGGGGAGCCCGGGGAGCCCGAGGTGAAGTCCGGGACAGGTTACGGCGAAGCACCCAGAGCCCCGCCAGTTTCTGGTGCTTTTCCTGGGAGGAAGGGAAGTGGGTCGGGCTGCGCTCCCCGGCCCCTCTTCCCGCCCAAACGCAGCCGCCGCGGTGCTCCGGTCTGGCCGCCAGGCACCCGCTTCCGCTCCCAGGACTCTGATGGGATGAAGGGGCGGCGCCCCGGTGGAGCCAGCGCCCCGGGTTCTGGGTCCCCCCTCCCCGCCTCTGCCCTCTCGCTCTGTCCTCGCGGCTGCCCCTTTGAGTTGAGTGTCCGCCTCATTTTCGATGATAGATTTTTTTCCTTTTCCCAAAGTCAGGCGCACAGTGTTGCCAACACCGGAGTGGGCAGATCCGGAAATATCCAAAACGATCCCTCACGTGCAGCCCAGAATGTGTTCAACACCAAGCTGACATTCTTGTTCTCGTCCCTCATCCGCCCAGGAGGTGACACTACCCTCCTGCAGGCGGCCCCAGGCCCGGCGAGGTGCTCAGGCCGGGAGAGCGGGGGAGCGCCAGGGGGCCAGCGGGCGGCCGTGGGCTCCCAGCGGGCCGCCGTGTAACGGCGGCGCCAGCAGGTGGCAGCACGAGGCCTGTGCCAGGTCCTGCGCTGTGGGAAGCGGTACACCTTTTCCGTGGTGTTTGCAACAAAAAGTTTTCACATATTCATGCAGTTAAACTGAGAGGTTTTAGTCAACACCATTTAATTTTAGGCAAGAAAGTTGTACACCATGGAATAGCGAAATGTGTTACTTTGGGGGTTCTTTATTAGATTGCCTTTTAAAAAATTACTTTAAAATGTGCTTGTGCCGAAACCGGTGTGGCTCAGTGGATGGAGTGTCAGTCTGTGGACTAAAAGGTCCTGGGTTCGATTCCGGTCAAGGACATGTACCTTGGTTGCGGACCCATCCCCAGTAGGATGTGTGCAGGAGGCAGCTGATCGATGTTTCTCTCTCATCGATGTTTCTAATTCTCTATCCCTCTCCCTTCTTCTCTGTAAAAAATCAATAAAATATATATTTTTAAATGTGCTTGTGAAAAATCTATAATCATGGGTAATAAAGACTCACTTCTTTATTATGTGTAAAGTGGCTAATAATGCCTTTCTGAGGTGGTTTCTAGGGTTTGTGACAATATGCCCTAAAGGCCGTGCATTGTGCCGAGTGGATGTTTTTGCTTAATAAATGATAACTTACTACTGTAATGTCCCAACCCAGCTCTCCCCAGACCCTCTTCTTTTTAACGCACAGACAGCATTCCTCTGCTTCCCTCTCGTCCTGCACACAGTAGAATGTGCGTCAGCCGTGCAGAACAGCACAGCACTTCTATTTCCGGCTGGGAGGAGTCACAAAGGCCATCTGCTCTTTGCACTGCATTGCACATTGAACATCGAGTCTTGAAAAAGGTTTAAAGGCCAGAAACATTTTGTCAGAATCTACAGCTGATTCAGGCCCAATCAGTGTGGCTGTGCAGTTCAAATCACTTTTCCTAATATGGATGTTTCTGCCCCATTAATCCAACTGTATGCACAAGTCTTCTCTGAAGCTGGAGATTGGGTTTGCCTAATAAGTAGATCTTTTATGGAAGATGTAAGTTTCTTGATTTTTTAACTTGCCAGGTTCAGGTTTCTCTTTCTGTAAAGGAGTCAGACAGGCACAGGACACGGTTCTACACGAAACCATCTTCTTTCACAGAGTCCCAGGGAGAGCAGCCAAGGGGCCCTGGGGCTTATTGAGCATTTCCTGTCGACTTATCTCCACTTGGAAAACGCATTACAGAGCCCTGTGTGTGTGTGTGTGTGTGTGTGTGTGAGAGAGAGAGAGAGAGAGACCTCTGCACCTGAGTGTGTGTGTGTGTGACCTCTGCACCTGAGTGTGTGTGTGTGTGTGACCTCTGCACCTGAGTGTGTGTGTGTGTGACCTCTGCACCTGAGTGTGTGTGTGTGTGACCTCTGCACCTGAGTGTGTGTGTGTGTGTGACCTCTGCACCTGAGTGTGTGTGTGTGTGACCTCTGCACCTGAGTGTGTGTGTGTGAGACCTCTGCACCTAAGTGTGTGTGTGTGTGTGTGTGTGTGTGAGACCTCTGCATCTGAGTGTGTGTGTGTGTGACCTCTGCACCTGAGTGTGTGTGTGTGTGTGAGACCTCTGCACCTGAGTGTGTGTGTGTGTGAGACCTCTGCACCTGAGTGTGTGTGTGTGAGACCTCTGCACCTGAGTGTGAGTGTGTGTGTGTGACCTCTGCACCTGAGTGTGAGTGTGTGTGTGTGACCTCTGCACCTGAGTGTGTGTGTGTGTGTGAACTCTGCACCTAGCTGAGAAGCATCACGGCAAACAGGAATTTATAAAAAGCTTCCCACCTGCTGAGTCTGGACATTTCTCCGTTGGCAGGTCACTCAGGGACCTGGGCCCCACGGTGTTTGCAGGCCCGCCCCGCTCCCTCCCCCCACCCCTCCCCCAAGCCCCGTCAGTCCACCAGCCCCGCCCCCAACCGAGACCCCGCCCACCGCCGCAGGCTGAGGGGCGCAGGGCGGGGTCTGGGGAGCTGAGCCAGGAGGCGGTGGGCGGTGGGCTGGCTCTGCTGTGGGGGAGCTGCGGCGGTGGGCGGGGTCTCGTTTGGGGGCGGGGGGGGGGGGGGCCTGCAAACACCGTGGGGCCCGTGAGCGGACCCCAGGTCCCTGAGTGACCTGCCAACGGAGAAATGTTCAGACTCAGCAGGTGGGAAGCTTTTTATAAATTCCTGTTTGCCGTGATGCTTCTCAGCTAGGTGCAGAGTTCACACACACACACACTCAGGTGCAGAGTTCACACACACACACACTCAGGTGCAGAGGTCACACACACACACACACTCAGGTGCAGAGGTCACACACACACACACTCAGGTGCAGAGGTCACACACACACACACTCAGGTGCAGAGGTCACACACACACACTCAGGTGCAGAGGTCACACACACACACACTCAGGTGCAGAGGTCTCACACACACACACACACTCAGGTGCAGAGGTCTCACACACACACACACACACACACACACACTCAGGTGCAGAGGTCTCTCACACACACACTCAGGTGCAGAGGTCACACACACACACACTCAGGTGCAGAGGTCTCTCACACACACACTCAGGTGCAGAGGTCTCACACACACACACTCAGGTGCAGAGGTCACACACACACACACTCAGGTGCAGAGGTCTCACACACACACACACACACACACTCAGGTGCAGAGGTCTCACACACACACACTCAGGTGCAGAGGTCACACACACACACACACACACACACTCAGGTGCAGAGGTCTCACACACACACACACACACTCAGGTGCAGAGGTCACACACACACACACTCAGGTGCAGAGGTCTCTCACACACACACACACACTCAGGTGCAGAGGTCACACACACACTCAGGTGCAGAGGTCTCACACACACACACACACACACTCAGGTGCAGAGGTGTCACACACACACACACAGGTGCAGAGGTCTCACACACACACACACACACAGGTGCAGAGGTCTCACACACACACACTCAGGTGCAGAGGTCACACACACACACTCAGGTGCAGAGGTCTCACACACACACACACACACTCAGGTGCAGAGGTCACACACACACACACTCAGGTGCAGAGGTCACACACACTCAGGTGCAGAGGTCACACACACACACACTCAGCTAGGTGTAGCAGTCACACACACACGCACACACACCTGTGCACAGCAGTGCCTCTCCCATCCATTCCCACCTGCATCTAAACCTAAATCTCCTAAAGCCGCGTCCGCTGCTTACAGTGCTCTGCGGCCTGGCTCACCCGGAGGACGTGGAGGTGTGGGGGGGCGGGGGAGGTGGGCATCGGAAGCAGCTGGTGGCCGAGGGAGCAGAGCCCGCGGCCACAGCCACGGTCATGGTCAGGTCATGGTCACAGCGGCAGAAAGCGCTGCCGGGGTTTGAAAGGGCGCCCTCCGCCAGCACATGCACCGGAGCTCAGTCTTGCCTGTCATCCTGTGATCACAGTGGAGAGGCGCAGGGTTATCCCGCCGGGATGAGCCCGGGGTGAGTGGTCGCAGTCACTCTGCTTTCCACAAAGACAGACACTGCGAGGCCCGGAGCCCGCTTCCTGCGCCAACGTGGATCCCGGGGCGCGCCGCCAGGGGGCGCTGCTCGCCAGGCGGCTGCAGGATGGGGTTGGTGCTCCTTTAGGGGTTTTGTTTCTTTAATTTTTCTTTATTTTCTGTAGCCTGCAGTCTCTCTTTCCTTTTTCTTTTTTAAAGTACATGTGTCTATGTATATATTTAATAGTTATTGTTGGAAGTTTTACATATGTCTCCTTTTTCTCCCATTGACCTCTCCCCACCTGCTCTCTCCCCCTGCACATGCCCCCACCCCCCTATGTCTGTGTCCATTGGTTATGCGTATATTCCTGCATACAAGTCCTTTGGTTGATCCCTTACTCCCCTCTCCCCGTCCCTTCCCTCTGAAGTTTGACAGTCTGTTCCATGCTTCTAAGTCTCCGGATCTATTTTTCATCAGTTTATGTTGTCCATTCGATTCCACCAATGAGTGAGACCATGTGATATTTATCTTTCTCCGACTGGATTATTGCGCTCAGCATAGTGCTCTCCAGGTCCATACACGCTGTTGCAAATAGTGAGAGTTTTCTTTTTTACAGCAGCGAAGTATTCCATGGTGTAGATGTACCACCGTTCTTAACCCACTCGTCTGCTGATGGGCACTTG